GACCATGGTCTCTGTGCCCAAACCACAGGGTGTAGGGACAGTTGGTCCTGTCTCCCTGCAGCAGGACTGTTTATCAAAAGGGGAGACAGTCAGTCTCCCCCTCCAGCAGCAGCACCGGGTCCAGGGAGAGGAGCCTACCACCCCCTCTTCACAGCTGGGCTCCAACCAGACTACTCCAGCTGAAGTGCTGGCACCAGGGCAGAGTATCGCTGGTCTCTGCCCACTCAGCAAACCACAGATCTGGAGTACCCGTACCAAACACAGCCATGATGGAGCTCCTGTACAAATACTGGCTGCACGTTTCCCCAGGTGCAGTAACTTTTCATTGTGGGTGGGCTGCACTACTGACTATGTTTTGTGGGTGGGTTGCTGGACTAACCAAGGCACTGACCGACAGGAGGCCAGATACCTTGTTAGTCTTTTTGGGAAAGGGGAGAAATGTGGCGGAACCAGCTTCGCCACTGGCTATGGCCCCATGTTGAAATGCTTGATTTTCCCCTGCAAAGACCCGAAAGCCGGTTCATTCGATACTTTCCCTATGTGACCAGTGTTACCCTAGATAGCTATGCCATGGAGCCCATTCGTATAACGAAAGACTTTGGCTCCATGGCAATTGAACTGTATGTATGTGATCTGAGCGCCATTCAGTAATAATTTGCGCTCAGATCTAAGCTATCTGGGGATATGTTGAATGTACCCGATTTATGCAATCGCTGTACAGTTATATATTTTTATGTATTTTATTGTATTTTGCTACCATGTGGCTAATGGAGTTTTGCCTCTGTCCTTGGAGATAATTGGATTACTTCCCAATTATCTCCAGGATAGAAGACTCTGTGGAACTGGTTTTGGGCAGAAAAAACATGCTTCATTTTGTTAAATAGGACTTTCCCTTAACTTTTTAACCCCTGAACCGATTGCCCTGATTTTTGAGTATGTGTATATTTCAAGCATGCAGATTCTGAAAATGTATGTTTTCTGTGAATGGCATGTATATTTGGGAAGTTATGTAAAAACTGTATTTCTCTGCCTGTGATAATTATATTACCCATTGTGTTCAATAATCATATCACAGGCAGAGGGGAGGATTTTGTGTGGGAGTGTCTGACTGTATTGTACAGATTGATTGGTTGTATTTCAAAACCCTGTGGGCAGTTCTATATTTGTGGATTGTGAATAAAAGAGGCTGTATGTGCCAGTACAGTCAGTTCTACTTCACCCTCAATTTGGAGTGTCGTCTCTTATTGGGGGAATCTGCTACAAGGGATTGCTATGCTTGTCATACTCCCTTGATAAATCACTACTAAGCTCTTGTAAGAGCTTGTTCCTGTCCTGCTCTCTGAAGGAGTCCACGGTGGTTATGGTGTTGGCTGGAGTGCTTGGAGCCCTCAGGAAGTGCTAGGAGCATCCTTCAACGGAGGTACCCAGTCAGGGTGCCAGGTGATCCGTTACACTCCCAAACTGCATACAAAATAGCACTCCAAACTCCCGAACTGGAACCTCACGAATAGCTGCTAGCAGACGAACAGGAAAAGCGCCCAAGCGGCTTACACTCCTGGCAATCAGTCTCTAACAGCATACAGTAAATCCCCCCAAAGACGAGACAGAGCTCCGTGTTGAGGGTCAAGCAGTGGTCTGGTTTATTGAGGGCTACCTGCCCAGTATTTATGCAGGTCTCCCAGCTGGTGGACACTCCCCGAGGGGACCAAATGGGAGACACACAGAGGTAAAACATCCCCACAATGCATCCTAATTTCCCTCCCTCTGTCCTGGAGATAATTGGGAAGTAATCCAATTATCTCCCAGGACAGAGGCAAAACTCCATTAACCACATGGCAGTAAAAGACAGTAAAAGACATAAAAATTTATAAAGTTACAACTGTTGCACAAAACATATACATTCTACCTATCCCCAGATAGCTTAGATCTGAGTGCACATTATTACCGGATGGCGCTCATATCACATATATACAGTTCAATCGCCATGGAGCCAAAGTCTTTCCCATAGTCTTTCATTACATGAATAGGCTCCATGGCATGGCTATCTGGGGTAATGCTGTTCATACGGTTAAACTACCGAATGAACAGGCATCCGGTTAAATGACTGAATGCAGAAGCAAGGAGGCTGATGGCTCGGCGGTGTTCGCACAAATAATTGTCCGTTTCCAGTTCCATAGTTTGGCCGCTGGACACCGCTGGCCACTCGGGACTTTAAAATGGCCACCGCCACGTGTTCGGCAAACGAACAAAGGCCACCCAGCATTCGTCAATTAAGCTGCGGTTAACCGCAGCTTCTGGGAGGTAAATTGCCGACACACTCCCAATACAGGTGGTCCAGTCATTCGGTTGTTTGTTCGGTAGATTGAATCTACCGAACGCCAGGCAGAAAGGCATGAACAAGCCTTTTCTGCAGGGGAAAAGAAGGCTTTTTTTTTAGTATAAATTTTTGTATTAAGTTTATTACAAAAATACATATAACAATAAACATACGGACATCATGCTCCATTAATACATAATCTCTGCATTAGGTACAAATTAAACAAACATACAAATATACTTAACATTAAACAACATTATCTGCAGGGTCAGGCAAGGGGGGGAGTTTGTCTGAGCTCAGGAATCGTTATGTATCAAGTGCAGCTTTAATTTACAGACCGGTTTCCAATTTATTGACCCAACCTTGCCAAAGATCATGTCTTTTTGGGGCATTCAAGTACGGTATACTCAAATCTGTTTCCATCCTCGCCTGAGCACCAATTTGCTCTCTAATAGAATCCCAAGTAATTACTTGATTAGATTTCCAATTCCGTGCAAAAACTATTTTAAATGCAGTAAAACAGTGTATTATAAAACACCTGTTCGTGTTTGACATATTTGACCAGTGCATATGCAACAAAACCACTTCTGTTTTCCTATCTAGCTCCATTCCCGTTATATCCCTAATAAATCTAAACATTCATTTGATTAAAATCTGAATATATGAACAACTCCACCACATATGGAGAAATTATCCCTCTTCTTTATCACATCTCCAGCATCTAGAGGAGACCCCTGGGTACATCTGGAATAGCTTACTTGGCACTAAGTACCACCTGTATATCACCTTATAGTAGGTCTCCAATAGATTCAGGCATTGAACTTGTTGACGAGTATTATTGATAGCTTTACACCATTCCTGTTGATCTAATAAGCAATTTAAATCATTTTCCCATTTAAGCTTTTGAGGAAAACAGATTAAGTAATTAATATTTCTAATAACCTCTATTTCTTTAGCCAAAACCTTAGGAATAACCTCATTTGACAAAAGAGATTGTAGCAGCTTTAAAGGTTTCTCGGTCGCAATAATAAGATGTTTCTGCAAAAAGTACTTAAGCCTCAAATATGTGAACAATAAAAAAGGAAAAGATGTATAAATATAAGTGATTGTAGATACACTCACAAACGCACGTGAAATAAGGCTTTTCACCCTCTCAGGGGTAATATGTAGTATGATGAACGGACTGGAGAATCACCTCATAGAATATATGCAAATAAAGGAAATCAAAGATAGTGAAGTTTATTATAAAAATACAAAATCACATTTATTGGTCACACTTACATGTGTGTATATCACAAAGAGCGTATCTCCCAATAACCTGGAACTCCATACAGTGTAGTCATCAGTCCAAAATAGGATCTAACAGGAGTGGTTATAGGTGAACAGCCAAAATGCAAATAAATAAAAGTTAAAAAACAAAGTAAAATAACAATACAGAAATACTAAATTTAGATAGATCTCATCTCTTGTCAAATAAAAATAAAAATGATCAAATAATGGAAGCCACTTCTAATCATACCACCTTCCAACATAATCGGAATAATAAACTTATATGTAAAAATACAAACAAAAACAGTAGTAATAAATTTGAATTTGCCTTCATTACCCAATATAATTCTCAAGCAAAAAAAGTTGAAAAAATACTTAAGAAACATTGGTACATTCTAATGAAAGACGATATTTTGAAACATGTGTTACCAAAATTCCCAACAGTAATATACAAAAAATCTACCAACCTAAAAAACAAATTAGCACCGAGCTTATTGCCTGTAACTCCTCTTTGTAACAATGTCCTTCAGACTCCAATTACTGGCTTTTACAGTTGTGGCTGTTGTTCCACTTGTAAATATCAAAAAAGGAAAATTACAGATTTCATAGGAACCTATACTAAAAAATCTTATAACATAAAAAAACATATTTATTGCTCCTCTACTTTTGTTATATACTTATTACAATGTGGTTGTGGAGCTCAATACGTTGGTCGTACTTCTAGAAAACTACACACCAGAATTTTGGAACACCTTAACAATATAAAGAAAAATAAATTAGATCATAGTGTTCCTAGACACTGTAACTCTTGTCCTTTATTCAGTTGGAACACTTTTCAAGCATATGGCATAGATTTAGTCCAGATGGGCTGGAGAGGAAGAGATAAAAATCAGGAACTAACTAGAAAGGAAGCTCTGTGGATTTTTAATCTTAACACTTTATATCAAGGACTTAATCAAGAGATAGACCTTCAGGGTCTTATTTAACAGTATATTTTTCCTCTCTCTATATATATATACATATGCATGTCCTTCCTCTCATTTTTGTATATACCTTGGGATCAGGATGATATGTACCTATATATACACTGCATAATTTAGATATGTTATTCAATTGTATTCATTGGATGTGTTGCATTGCAGGATGTATGTCCATACATATAAGATTTTGTAGATACATATATGTATATTTTGTATGTTCATATTTTTTGGATATGTATACCTTTAATAGTACTATGATTCCAGTATTATTATGTTTTCTCATCATATTGGTATTTTTATATTTCATCTATCTATGTATATAATTTCCAATTTTGATTCCCATACCTACATCCTCCAATGCAATCTACACTGATCGGTTTTGATTTATCAGTATCTTAGGCGATGTTTTCGCCCTTTTGTTTTATGTCCCGTCTAGGTTTCGGTCTTTTTTCAGTTTGCACATTTCAGTTTGCGTGTATATTACACACATGCGCTGTACAACACGGAACTGTTTTCCTGAATTACGGAGCATTTCGCGCCTTTGTGCGTTCCACGGATGGAACGCACGCTGTACAACAGATGGACGAAATCAAATGAAGATTTGCAGCAGTATTAAAACCGGAGAAAAAGAGTATAGAAACATCCCTGAAGAAGTCCTACACCCCTACGGGACGAAACGCGTTGGATTCTTTCTATATGGATTTATATTCTGTATTGTTATTTTACTTTGTTTTTTAACTTTTATTTATTTGTATTTTGGCTGTTCACCTATAACCACTCCTGTTAGATCCTATTTTGGACTGATGACTACACTCTATGGAGTTCCAGGTTATTGGGAGATACGCTCTTTGTAATATACACACATGTAAGTGTGACCAATAAATGTGATTTTGTATTTTTATAACAAACTTCACTATCTTTGATTTCCTTTATTTGCATATATCCTATGAGGTGATTCTCCAGTCCGTTCATCATACTACATATTACCCCTGAGAGGGTGAAAAGCCTTATTTCACGTGCGTCTGTGAGTGTATCTACAATCACTTATATTTATACATCTTTTCCTTTTTTACTGTATAACGCTATGTTAGCATTTTTGATTCTTACACAGAATTCACTAATGGACCATATCCTATATCAGGTTGTTTTTTAATTCATATACTAACTCTGGGTGTTTTCCACCTTTTTTTGTTATTGTATATTGTCTCTTGGGTGTCTGTGAGGTACACCTGGGAATTCTTCCAGTTATACGTTTCTATTTTCACATTTGTAGTGTATATACTATTTTTTGCTTATATCAAATATGTGAACGCCTCAACTTGGGAAGTTGGAACCTTTGTGAAATTGGGTTGAATGTCATTAACTTGTCTAGATGTACTATCTGTGACACTTTGTTTATTCCTTGTACTCTCCAACTATCCAAAATTGTCCAAAATTGCATACCTAAGACCAATCTTTCTTTTAATTTCCTCCCAAACTGGCACCAGTTGGGCACAGATCTTACTATTATTGATATCAATCCCCATTTTATCCATAGTTTTCGTATTCCATATCATGCTATCTGTTTTTTTTAACCCTAGGTCTTCCATTTCAATATTAAACCAACTATCTTCTTTAGCTGTTACCGTCTGGGACCCATGTATATATGAGTGATCACATTTGCCCAATACAAAAATCTTATGTTGGGGAATCCCCCATCCTTAGTTTTTAAAGATAGAATATTTCTACTGATTATATTTTTCTTACCCTTATTAATAACATTTTCCAGATTATTTTGTAGTAGCGTTAGCCAGCTATCTGAAATCTTAAGGGGAATCATTTGAAATAGATAGTTCCATTTAGGAATAATGTAAGAATTAATAACATTAATACGGCCCCACCATGTAATCTGCATGTTTCTCCAATCTCTAATAGATTTGTAGATTTCAATAACTTTAGAAAATTGTCCTCCATCATTCTCTCAATGTTCTTAGTAATGGATACCCCTAAGCATTCAAATTTCTGTGATGTCCATTTAAATGCATATTTATTACTAATCTCCTCTCTAGACTTCTTATCTAGTTCAAATACCTCTGTCACTTTTTAATCACCTCAGGTACCCTGCAACTACATACCAGTTCCTTCAGAAGCTTACTTGCTGTGACCTTCGCTATGGCTTTCGATACTGGGTAGGCCTCAGGCAAACCTGAAAAGAGATCAATGCACACAAACACATATTCATACACTCCTACCTTAGGTAGTTGGATATAGTCTATCTGCAGTCGCTGAAATGAGTAAAGTGGCCTTGGTGTATGTTTACCTGGTGTCATCACAGCCTGTCCGGGATTGTTCCTATCACAAATCATGCAAGCCTGGGTGTGCTTAGCTGCTATAACAGTAAACCCAGGTGCCACCCAATGGATATTCACTATACAGTTCATGTTCATCTTGGATAAATGTGTGGGTCCATGGGCTACTTGGGCCATTATAGGGTACAATACTCGTGGTAGTCATAGTCTTTTACCTTTTCTCCATATTCTGTTGTCATCGGGTTTTGCATAATTTTTCCTTGCCTGCCTGCTTCTGCAATCTCAAGAGTATGGTGTAGTCAACAGTATTTTCTGGAAGAACAACCTGTAGGGAGGTATTACCTAAGAGTGGGGAAGGAGGAGTTTGAATTGCTGCTTGCTTGGCAACTTCTTCTGCTTTGTGGTTTCCTCTTGTGATTTAATCTGTGATTTTCACGTGAGCTGCCACCTTGATGATACCTACTTGAGTGGGTAGCAGGATAGCGTCCATGAGTGCACTCATAGCTTCAGAGTTCTTGATTGGAGTTCCTGCTGCGGTGTGAAAATCACGAGCACGCCATATTGGCCTCAAATCATGGGCTATACCAAAGGCATATTGAGAGCTTGTGTAAATATTAGCTGTTTCACCAGAGGCCAGTTTGCACGCGTCAGTGAGTGCCTTCAGCTCAGCCTCTTGTGCAGAGCAGTGAGGGGTGAGTGGTTCAGCTTTAATTACCTCATGTGTAGAGACTACAGCATATCCATTGTGGAAATTACCCTTCTCATCAACATATATGGAACTGTCTACAAAAAACTCAAAATCTGGTTTAGACAATGGAGAATCAATTACATGTGAAAAACCTGCTGTCTCATGTGCCGTTAATGCTGCACAGTCATGGGGTACCTGAGCTTCTGCTAACTCATCTGGTGACAAATAAAAAAAAATCCAAAAAAAAAATCAGAACCACTACTCCCCTCTTTGAAATCCAGGGGAAGCAATGTAGATGAATTTAACACCATACATCTTTTCAGGGTGACATTGGAAGGCATACCTAAGATGCCTACCAGTATGTATGTGTTTGGGATGAACTTGTGTAAACATGCTGTTGATGACATGTGGAGTGTAAATGGTAACAGGATTGTCTAAAATAATGTCAGTGGCTTTGTCCAGTAGTGCAGTACCAGCAGCTACTGCACGCACACAGGATGGGGCCCCTCTTGCAACAGGGTCTAACCTGGTAGAGAAATAGGCAACAGGTCTCTGTGTTTTAGATTAAAGAAAACTTTGATTATTTGTCTATCTACTCCTTTCTAAATTGATTGTGCACATGTCTTCTGGAAGTAAATCACATCAGAGTGGCCTTTATTTCAGGGGGTGCAATTCCCTTTTAAAGCAGAAATACGTCATGTACAGAGCCACAGTTAACATACAATATACATTCATCAATTGGTTAACAGTCTAAGTGGTCTTGTCTAAACCCACCCTACTGGGCGTGACCCCAGCATCATCACATGACATTTCTTTGTATCCCAGCCCCATTCCAGCTCCATTTTACTACATGTGGCATGTTTCTATAGAGCTTTAGTTGCACAAAGGAAGTGGGGGAGGTGTTAGTAAAGGAAGCTGTTCCTTTAACACAGGAATTTGTTACAAGGCTTGCTCGATGGGAAGGGGGGATGGGATGAATTTGCAGAGGAAATAGCAGGATGGGAGGAATTTGCAGAGGAAATTGTTGGGGGGGAGGGGGGGGGTGAGGGAATATTTACTCTAGCAGCCAGTTTTAACATAGTGAACACAGAATAAATAGACATTAGTAAATAGCCATTTTATTTTAATTCTTCTGTCCATAACATCTGTTTCCCACCATGATCCTGAGTGAGGACAGCTGTGGCATAGCTAGCTTGCTCTGTGCAAAACAGAGTAAAGGGCTTCCTATAGTATGGTAGACCCAGTGCCGGGGCTCAGGTGACAAGCAATTTAAGAGTGTAAAAGGCTTTCTCTGCTTCAGGATTTAAATGAAAGGGTTCATGGGTGAGGCAATCATACAAGGGCTGCATGTAGATTGCTGCAGAGCGAAGCCAAGGGCGACAATAGGAGACTAGACCCAGAAAATTACATAGTTGGGCTAGGCTGCGTGGAGGGTTAATTTGTTCATTTAGCATTTTTCCTATCTTTTGTGAGATGTTTTGCAGCCTGAGAAATACAGTGTCCTAGAAAAGTAGCAGTGGGAATGCATGCTTGTAGTTTGGCCTTGGTAGCACTGCACCCTGCTTGTGCCAAAAAAATTAATAAAGACAGGGTGTGCTCAGTACATGACTCCTGATCAGAGCAAAACAAAAGCAAGTCAGCAACATATTGTAGTAACACAACATCATCTGCTCTTGGCCAGGCTTTGAGAATTTGGGCCATTGACGAACTATACATAGTAGGTGAATTCAGGGCAACTTGTGGCAACACTGTCCAGGTGTGCATGAATGCAAAAAGGTACTGGCTGTCTGGGTGCAATGGCACAGAAAAGAAAACATTTGCCAAGTCAATGACACTAATGACAGTAGAGGAGGGTGGAATTTGGGATAACAGTGTATGGGGATTGGGGACATTAGTTCAGTAACTGCATTTACTGCCCTGACCATACAGTAAACCACTGCTTTTCCCTTATATACGGCATACAATGGGATATTACATGTGGAGGCAGTTTGAACGATAATACCTCCTGTTGCAATTCATGTATATATTGTGAAATGGCATCATCTTGAGCTGGGCTAAGAGGGTACTGTTTCTGACAGTAAGGGGTGGCTCCTGGCAGGAGATTCACTTTGACTGGGGGCCACAGCGAGTCTGCCTGTATCTGTCTTCCCTGTAGCCCATAGAGAATTAGGGACTGAGGACAAGTCGATGGTAGGTTCTGACACACGGCTGGGCATTGTGAGAGTTTCCAGTAAATGGGTAAGTGGTATTAGGCAGTTGTCCTCAAGGGGCAGAGACAAGGATACCTCTCCAGACGGACTGAACTGAACGTTGGCGTTAATAGCAGACAAAACATCACTGCCTAGTAAATCAACAGTGGCATTTGGGCTTACAAGTAGCCGGGTAATTAGAGAAGTGTAGTCGTGGAGCCTGAGCTTCATCTGGTGGGTGAGCGGAAATTTTTCCCCTATCTGATTTGTCATAGGGGAAAATGTATTTTTCCTGCACCACAGGACAACTGCCCCAGTGTCGAGCAAAAAAAGGGACTATTCTGTCACCTGGTAATCTAACATTAACAGTAGGAAAGGGTCCAGCTATGTTAGGAATAGTTAAAGTGTGCAGGGGCAATGGGTTGTCAATTTCCTATGGGGAAGCAGCAATATCTTGTGAAGGATGGGTAAGCAGGGGTGCTGCTGCTGCATTGTGACAGTCTTGGTGAAGCGAGACGGACATTTACAGTTTAGTTTGATGTGTCCCTTACTGCCACAGTTCCAGCATGCTACTTGCCGGCGGCTATTGGCCTGTCTGGGAGTTGTGAGAGCCATAAGGGTGGGGGTTTTCCTACGTGCACTCTGGTTAGCCT